GCTCCGCCGGACCCTTACAGTGTGTTTGTTTGTTTTAAACTGACCACTTGGAAGAAATCCCTTGGTTATCTGCGGTTCTCATGCTCTCTCCCTGTCCCTAGCCCATTGGGGTCGGATGACTCACTTTTCTGTAACCTATGAAAGGAGTTTTGGTGGCCTAGGTGGGAGGTGGAGGCAGCCTCCAGAAGGACCATAGGATCTTTATTACTGTCATCTGGTTTTGGACAATCAGTTGAGCTTTGATAGGAAAACTCTGAAAGAAGAAAGCAATCAGCTGAAACTAACATTCCCCATCCATCCCTGTTCATATGAAAAGTTTGGTTCTTCTCCCACTTTTGAATGATGATATTCAGGCTAAGCATTGATGTTATAGTAAAAAAGGAAAAAAAAAAATATATATATATATATATAAACAGACAAATCCAAGGCTGTGAGGTGAATGAGTGTCTGTTTGGATTCCAGCGAACCAAAATTCATGTCGAACAAAGTGAAGTCTGTAGACGATAACTTTGAATGACCTGTAGTGTGTGTGTGTCTCGTGTGTGTGAGCCCCACACCCCGTGATTCTTTGAATGGCAGCCATCCTGCTCACGTTAACCACACGTCTGAAGCAAACATGGCCCTCTCAAGGTAATTTATTTTATGCATTTACTGTTTACCGAACAAACGTCTGTGTACCTGAGTGTATTTGGCAGCATTGTCGACGGCGCCCCCCTGTGTTTGCCTGAGATACTGCGCTCAAGGTAGAGGTTCCACTCTGCTCATCACTGCAATTTGCACATTGCTCCGTGGACACTCAGAGGCCGTGTCCTGTCCCTGTTAATGGAAGTGTGCTCTGAACCTGTCTGCCTCCCTCCCATACTCCTTGCCTTCAGTCTCAGCCTCCAGAGGGTGTCCACAACCATTTGGGACAGAAGGCAAAAGTGGAATTCCAGACAGAAGCTTGATTGGCTCTTCAGTGACAAGCTTGGCCTTGCTGTGGTCCAGACATCAGCCTGCCCAGAATTGCCAGGAGGCTTTGGCAGACTCCACAGAGCCACAGCACAGTCCTTCCTTTGTTGAGTTCAGGGAGGACTGGCGTGTGGCCAGAGGGGTGCCACAGCACAGCAGCCCTCAGATGCCTACCTTCCATCTTCCTTTGGAAATCACAGACAACTCACTGAAGTGTCTCCAAGGAGAACAAGTTTTACCAAAATGAATCTTTCTTCATTTAACTGATCAAATGGATGAATCTAACCCTCTAGGTTTCTTTCCCCAATGGGGAGCTGGTCTGAGTATTGACTGTTGGCTTCACTGAAGCATCTTACCCTGAAGGCCTGAGAAGAAGCACAGTGGCCAAGCTGGGCTTAACTAGTAAGCTGCGGTTGGCCACGTCTGCTGGAGGCTTCCTTCTCAGAGAAGGAGACAGGGAACTGAAGGAATAGTCAGGGGGTCAGAGAGACTAGGTTGAGTCTGGTTTTCCAGATGAATGAGAAGGAAAGGATTGGTGGAGGGTTTGTTGCTACAGTCGGAAGATTTGCAAATGCTAACACATTCCTGTGTGAGGCACATCACCATTTGTCAGT